TTTCCAGAAATCTTGTATTCGTCAGCGGAAAAGTTAGTTCGACCTAAAACCCGAGAGGTTTTAAACAGGACCCGAAAGACGTCAACGGTCGTTTAGATCTCTGAACAGAACAGAACTATTTCTTCATGATCTGAGACTGATTCAGGGTCATCACTTAGAATGTTGCAACGCCGGTTTAAATACGCGCTATTTGATCTTTGCAAATTTTTTTTTGTGGTTAACTGTGGACTGAAAAAATAAACGTTAATATGATGACATTCGTCTGGATTGAAATGACGTGCTGCAGTTCAAACAACCCAACGAACCAATGAATCATTAGGAACTACTTCATCTGTTCAAACTACATTTCGATCAGACGTAATCGCCGACGATAAAGAGAAACACACGAGAAAGATTTTTGCAAAATGGCTTAAGACCACTAACCCACTGTAGCTGTCCTCGGTATGCAAAAAACTGAAAGTACTTGGCGAGCGGAAGAAGGCTCTGTTTCTTGTTTGCAATTAGCAGTTCAAAACGATACCTCTTCTCCGTCGGTGAAGCTGTACGGTAAGAGAGAGAGAGAGGTGCTAACCATTTAGGTTTACTGTATTTTGCGATAAAACTGTGGCCACGGTGTCTGAGAGGTTAAGTTTTAAAAAACTGGGCCTTTCAGGTATTTAATTCGTGATATTATAAATACCCCAGTAACAGGATTTTAATATGTTGGCCTTTTAAGAAACGCAATAACAACTCTTGTTGAATAAACACCGGGTCTGAATAATCTGCACTGTGCAGGGCTAAGAATAAACGAATAAATGCCCGGGGCGCTAAATTGGTAAAATACTATTTTCTCAAAGGCTGTTTGAAGAGGACGTTAGATTCTCATTGGTTTAACCCACGATTTCTATTCCGAGGAGGAGAGACAAGTTATAGGGGCACGGGCCTATGTTGTAAATGAATTGCCGTCAGCAGGAAAAGCGGGCTTTGTATACATCTCGATTCCCTCTATGTACCTTATTGACACCCCTCTGACAGACTCAGTGAAACCCTACGCAGTGTTTAGCCTCCCCGATACCCGGTGAAAAGTTTGCTTCTGCCCGGCTGATTTTTTCCTCACCCGATCACTTTCTATCATGACTTCTACAAGAGCAGTGTATCGGCGTTGTTCATAATTGTTCAAAAGAAGCAAATAATATAAAACATTATTATCATTGATAAAAAGAAAATACGAAGGGTACAGGTAATCCATTCTCACATAAAAAAGTGTAAATCGTTTAGTTCGTCTTCAGTTTTCATACCGGTAAAGATGCGGTTTTATGGGAAGTACCCAACTAAGAAAAACCCATTGGAAAATAAGCCAACCCAGTAACGTTTTCTTCGAGAACCCAGTGAGGATATAGATTCTACTGAGTCTGTTACAAAGGGGTGTCTCGCGGGTCCTTCATTTCGCGTTTTTCGCGATTGTAAACAAATCGCGAGAATTGAAGACCCGCGAATAAGAATCATGACGTTCTTGCATACGGTATTTTCCTACGCGAAATCCCCTGTCTCGCAAAAAGCATTCAAAAAGTGCTCGAAAATGATGATCAAGGCCAGGAGCTCCTGTCAAGGCTTACTCTACTTCCAGACTTACAGGCCTTCTGCACGTGCAGCACACCTTTTGGTAAATTTCTAAGCTTTTCAGGGTTGCCACTGCACAATAACGACCGTGAAATTTCCTGTGCCGGTGGTTACTCTCGTGAATCAAGAGTGATAGGTTTCATCGGAGATCATTACTGGCAGGAGTCAAAAAGTGTTGCCTTTTTAGACCACATTATAATGAAAATAGCGCCCATAGCGCCAGTACAAATAAAGTATTGTTTGTTTGCCAAAAATTGTACAAATGAAAAAAATAAATCTAATTACTTAAACTCTCATGGCGAGGAAGCCCAAGAGAAGCCACCGGGCTTATAACAATGTTTATCCCCGCAAAGTTTGCCCAGTACGAGTAAGATGCTAGTTGAAAACTCCATTGCTCTTGTACCCTTTACTCATCCTTTATTCTTACATCAGGGTTCCCATGTCATTAAAGGCGATTGGGGATCTCGTTGTTTCCTGATCGCTGCAAATTTTACCACCTTAAAATATTGATTGTTTATATTTTCCTATACATGTTCATGTTACACGAGACATTTAACTTTTGAACAGGTTCTGGGGTATTCAGTGCGGTTTCCAGCTAAACAAAGAAAATTCCCCAAAAGAGGAATCAGTCTGGTCCTTTTTGCGTTTTTGACGATTTTTTTTGTTTGCGGTTTTGCGATAATAGGCTACATTGCTCACCTTCGATCCCCTTCCAAAAAAAAACGAAGTAAGAAGAAGAAGACCGCCTGGTGGTCCAGGCCTGATCGCTCTCAAACTCACTTTTTATATCTAAACTGTTTCAATTTCCTTTTTCTTCTCAATACTGTAAAACAGGCAATTTCGTACAGAAGTCCTAGAATTATTCCTTCAAATAGCGTTCACTAACTGAAAAAGGCTAATGGTGTCGAGTTAATCATCCACCCCCTCTCTTGTGCATTGTCATTTGATTGGACGAATTACAGCAATAATAAACAATGCACAATCGTCACAGCCTCTCAAACTGTCTCCAGGCAAGGATAAGTGCCTTCTCCGACTATCAACAATACTCTCGCGGAGCGGAGATATTGAGTTGTCCGAGAAGTGAGCAACGGTTTCTTGTTGGAAATTTGAAGTCATATCATCGGCGATGACTTCTCTACGAGACCGCACGGAGAGTAACATCAAATACGAGCCGGCAAGTATGTGAAGAGTTTTGATTTGCCTTCCATAGCTTATGCATGGGGACTGCAGTGAGTATTTAGGGATTATTAAGGGATCGTCCCCCTGCTTCGCTCAAGGGAGGCTGTCATTAATTCTTTGATTTCCACTTGCAACTAGAATACCTTACCTCAAACCATGTATAAGGAGGTATTTCTTGCCAGATTTTGGAGATGGATAGGAGAATATTTACACGGCAGATGATTTAATACCGTCACAAATTAAATAAGCAATCTGGGCGCGTCTAACGTATATGCGTAAGCCGCTTCTGATCGGTCAACAAAGAGGATATTTCTACCGGCGCAACTACCAGATCGCTATTGGTTTTCTAATGGAGACCGTACAGCGACAATGTACAACTACAGTTTTTCCGCCGTAACACAGGAACCGTGTGCCAGTTACTTTATTCTTTCAGCTTTATTTGTAATAACCAATGGAGTTTATGAATCTTACCCTAATATTTAAAAAAATACAAATACAAGAGCAAGCTAAAAAGATATGACAGGTTGAAAAACAGATCACATGACATCCATTGAATAGGTTCTTCGACTTGTTTGTTTTCACTAAATACAGNAGTTTTGATTTGCCTTCCATAGCTTATGCATGGGGACTGCAGTGAGTATTTAGGGATCGTTAAGGGATCGTCCCCCTGCTTCGCTCAAGGGAGGCTGTCATTAATTCTTTGATTTCCACTTGCAACTAGAATACCTTACCTCAAACCATGTATAAGGAGGTATTTCTTGCCAGATTTTGGAGATGGATAGGAGAATATTTACACGGCAGATGATTTAATACCGTCACAAATTAAATAAGCAATCTGGGCGCGTCTAACGTATATGCGTAAGCCGCTTCTGATCGGTCAACAAAGAGGATATTTCTACCGGCGCAACTACCAGATCGCTATTGGTTTTCTAATGGAGACCGTACAGCGACAATGTACAACTACAGTTTTTCCGCCGTAACACAGGAACCGTGTGCCAGTTACTTTATTCTTTCAGCTTTATTTGTAATAACCAATGGAGTTTATGAATCTTACCCTAATATTTAAAAAAATACAAATACAAGAGCAAGCTAAAAAGATATGACAGGTTGAAAAACAGATCACATGACATCCATTGAATAGGTTCTTCGACTTGTTTGTTTTCACTAAATACAGCTAGTCTCCAGCTAAATTTACGTCCAAAAATCTTATCAGTCGATTCCATAGCAATTGCGCGCTGGTGGAAAACCATTTTATAGGATATCATGTCAGTAGTGTTTTAAGCTGACCGTCGTTGATTCATTACATATCACAGATCCCTTTTCGATCCTTGTTTGCAAAGCAACCTTGAAATGACAATAATCCGGCCAGGTGTTTGCTTTTTGTCTAGTTTCAAACATGAGCTCTTTCTTAATTGTCGTAATTTTGCGTGGCTTTTTTTTTATCCCTTATCTGTTTAAAAGTCAATCCTATAAAAAAAAAATCGCCCTTATTTCCGTTCCCGGTACCGGGTTGTACAACTAGCGTTACTACTGTTCTTCTCCGCCGAAAAGCCGAGATAATCTGGTGAATATCAAAAGTTGTAAACAAGTTAGGTTTCAAAGCAATTTCTCGCCTTTCCTATGTACATTTTCAGTACATTAGTCAGGCTTAGTGTACCTTTTACCCGGGGGGGGGGGGTACTCCTATATATGGGCTATATAGGTACGTGCGGCGAAATAGGGTATGGTTTTTGAGGTTCTCGGCCCTTAAATAGGGTATCTTTTTTTACCCTTTTGTTTCTGTGTCCCTGGTGTGGTCCTTAGATAGGGTAGCTTAATTGTATTATCTAATACTGGAGTGTGAAAACGCCCGCCTAAACGAACGGTTTTTTAAAAAATTGATTTAAGTATTAACAAAATGATTTTGCAACAAAGGTTCAGAATAGCCGTTAAGCGGGTAAATACGCGTATAGCCTGCGTAGCTGGCGGTATTGTGTGGGTGACTATATTACAACGGCTCCGCCGCCAAATCTCACTCGACTACTACACAATACCGCCAGCTACGCAGGCTAATACGCGTAACGCCTCTTCAAGCCACATGTTTGTGTTTTCCTTGAATAGGGTGTCATTTTTCGGCTTTGGGCCTTAAAAAGGGTATCAGTTTTCGCTTTCTTAGTTAGGGTTAGGGTTCACGAACCTTCGCGGCACACCCCTATCCAAAATTCGCGGGAGTACCCCCCCGGGACCTTTTACCAGTCCTCCTTTACTTAAAAAATCCGCCTAGTTATCTCAGCCAGAGCGATTGCAAACCTCGATGTCAAATCAGGCGCTCTATTCTTAAAAATCCCGTACTTTCGTGGCCCCATATCTCCATCAAAAGCTAGCGATGATTTCTTCCTGAACTCCTTTCGGTCTAAATCTAAATGAAATGAAAAAATGACATTTTGCTTGAAATCTGCATGTTTTTAATCATGGCAGTCACATATTAAATGAATTCTTTCCTGTTTTTCCAAAAAGAAAGCAAAAAAATATTACGAAGCACTTTTTTTCTCTTTCAGCTGAAGAAGACGAGGAACAAACAGGAAACTGTTGCTCAAACACTAAGGTTCTCTATTTTACACCTTTTGTCCTTGTTTCACACCCATGTATTAACAGAAATGTTATCTTTTTTTCAGCATTGGTTCCAAAAATTTCCCAAAGCAACATGGCCAATTCTGTTGACAGAATTTGGAGAACGCTTCTCTTATTATGGCATCAAGAGTGAGTAACCCAATATTACTTTCTCTTCGTAAGCTTCATGATTCAGTTTACATTATACACAACGGGAAGTAAACTTAATAGTCTACGAGTAGTCCCTTACTTCAGGGACGCTGGAGTGGGGTGGGGCCGGGGGGGAGCTTAGCACACCTCCCCCTTAATTTTCCTGAAAATATAAAGACTTTTTTAGAGAAAGGTTTCCTCTGCCTACCCATTTTAAGTCCCTTATCGACCTCTCAGCGTTTCTGGTCCTTTTCTCTATTCCCCAATTCGGACAAGGGTGCTGCGCCCAAATAAGTTAAGTGTCTATTTACTCTTTAATCTGGTTGGCTTGGTTTATCCTGCCAAGAGACGGTTAGCTATTGCCTACATCACAACCTGCAAGTCAGTCAAAAGCCCGGACCAGGAGAGGGTGGAAACCTCCTGGGACGAATGTATTATAGTTTAGTAGTTTTGAGGATGAATATCGGATTAGCCATATAAACATATAATGGACAAGTATATTTGTCTGCGAATTAAATGGCATATTTCTTTGGTAGCTGTGTTGGTGCTGTATTTAACAAAAGACCTGATGTTCAACAAGCCTGAAGGAAAGAGCATATATCACGCGTTTAGTATGACAAGTTACTTTACAGGAGTGATTGGAGCAATGGTTGCTGACAGCTGGCTTGGAAAGTACAAGTGAGTACAACTGCAGAGCAATTATAGGAATCTAAGATAACGTACAGCAGTTCTTTCTTGGTTGGTATATATAAATTGGATGACCTAGTGTTTGCACTTCGGACAGTGATACTCTAAGATTTTTTTTAAACGTCGATTTATTGTAACCTTTAGTCAATTCCCAGAAGTGCACAAAAGTAAGGAACAGTTCCAGATTCTCATTACACAATGATTAATACAATAGTATCAAAACGAGCCCCGCACTACTCCCCCGGGGCGGACCCGAGAGAGAAGCGGAAATCGAGTCTATTAATAGAGAGGTTAAACATAGCGTTAATTACGTCAAACGACAAACGCGAATTTGTACCACGTGACCAAGTTTCCCCTTTACTTGTCGTTTACTGTTCATTATTTCTACACGTAAATTAATACTTTCGCGCAATTTTTTATCCATAAGAATTGTTTTGAGCTGTTTTCATCTGCTCACTGTTCTATTTTGAGAAATTTGACGTTTACCGTTTGCCGTATACGTGCGGCTTCACGAGCTTGGTAATCGATAGTCAAAAGTTATGAATTTCATCACCTTCTCCACTGATCACTATATGAGTGGCCGTTCTTCCAACTGCCGGACCAGGAAGGCGATTGCACTTGCGAGATCCAATTTTATTGTATTAATAAATAGCCACTAAGAAAGTGAGCGACCTTCCATGCATGCTTACATAAAGTGGAAATAAGTGGCACGCCCATAGAAAGTGCGGTGGAACACTCGATCGTGATCTTCCATAAACACATTTGTCTCCTCGCGCCTCTTTCGCTGAAAATGGCCGACTCCTAACAGGCGTAGCTTTCCCCTACTTAAAACATAATATAACTTGCTACGTTCGTCTAATTAGCTTTTTCTTTCTTTTTTAATGTTAGAACTATTGCCTATACCCTGTTTCTTTATTCCGTGTCGGAAATCCTCCTGACTCTAACTAGTGTTGACTCCATTGGTCAGCGAAATCCGTAAGTATTTCTTCAGTACTCAAACAACAACAACTTTAGCTTGCGAGCAAGCTCTCCTATTTTGGCCGGCGAAGTGAGCCTCACTCGCCCAAATAGGAGAGCTTGCTCGCAGGCTACAACAACTTTAATTGTACCCGACAGAATACAATAATGTCTTATGATAAACAAAATAAATTAATAAAAATTTAAAGGAGCACCGGAATTTTTTTCTTTTTCCCTGCTAAGTGAATCGTCATTCGTTTCTTCATTTACTCGTCCATTTTCTCTTTGTTAGGCATGGTCATCCTTCCTTTAGTTAAAAGAGAGCTTTAGATTTGAGGACGAGGACGACTGAAAGTACGAGATTTAACTGACTTTTTATTTGGCGTATTCTCGAAAAATATTCAACCCGGAAAACTTCATTGTACTATTTTTCACCGGAAAAATAAGTGCGGTTATTTTTTAGTCCTTTCCAGGTCGCCAAAAAAGAAAAAAAACTTCTAAAATTTGATAACTTGTTCCCGCCACTAAGACAATCTCGCTAAAACTCGTAGTAGAATGACGAGGGCTATCACGTTTTCCCGGCAAAATGACCTTGGTTCACGCGTGAGCAATACTCAGTATTGAGAAAATCTCGTGCTCGTAGTCGTTCTCGTCTCAGAATCTAAAGCTCTCTAAAAGCAGGGGGCAGCGTGACTAAGCCTGGCGAACTAGACTAAGGCATCGGTTTCGGTGTTTCGTAAGGTAGTCCCCGAGTTCAACTCCTTGGCCATGTTTGTAAAAAGCTAACTAGTTTGCCCCTTGTCAGTTCGGGAACCATGTCATTTTTCGTTAAGATTAATCGTTTGTGATTATTGAGTAGAACGCCTGTAAACAAGCTGCAATCAAAGTTAAGTGCACCAGTTCCATGATAAACAAAGTTTTTCCTTCCTCTTCCTTTTCTTCTTTCCTACTATTCAACTTCCCTTTCGGCATTCATTCATTCACTCAGTGTAGATATGAAGGTACCCAAGTTTCTTTGTAATTGCGACAACATTTTTTCATTTGAATTATCCTTAAGGATAGGGCCTCTGATATCCTTGTTTGCCATGGCCATTGCATGCGGTAACATCAAGCCTTGCCTCGCTGCCTTTGGTGGTGATCAGTTCCGCAAAGATCAGGTTAGTCCAAGATAACAGATTAAGCTGACTTTTCGTTGAGCTTGAAGAGAGGACAAAAGGAACAGGTTTTAAATTCTGAAGTTAAAGACTGTCTTTGTAGGTCTCTTCTGGCAGACGCTAATTGGATAATCACAAGCAAAGATATCTAAATATGCATCTGTAGGGTTGCGAGGGCGGATTCTCTATTTTACTAAAACTTGCAAGTTCTTTAGACCGCCGTGTTCCGCGTATCTTTCTCGCAAACTGTGAATATATCAGGTCAGTTATGCTTACATTAGCATCTCAGGAAAAGAGTGTATTCGGTCGAAGCTCTAACTCGCCTCTCTTTCAACAGGAACACTTGTTAGAGCTGTTTTTCGCCATGTTCTATGCGTCAGTGAACGTTGGAGCAGTACTCTGCATGTGGTTTATTCCTATGGTTAGAAGTGAGTATGTTCAATCAGTTTTATTTCAGTCCTTAGATGCAAGAATTCACCATGGCTGTTAATGTAGATTACACGTGAAAAAAGGCCGCGTTGGAATCGGAGATATAGCCATTTAGAATGGACTGTTTAGAAACTCTTCAGGCAAAAAAATTGATTGACCTCTCCGTGCCACACACCAACTCGAAAAAAGAGCTCCTCGATTGGAATGTTCATTCAACGTCTTGTATCAGTTACCCTTTGATATGGAGACTTCGTCCTTGCTATAAGGGTTTGTGTGTTTGTGGATGAGTGACAGCGAACAAGCACTTGATTTCAAATGCGCGTGTCCAGGAGGTGGCCTCTCATTGTTAGTTACTCTCTCTGTGAAAGTATTTAGTAACCATTGTCTCCTTTTTCTCTTCGTAGCGGATATACAATGTTTTGGCAGGGATTGTTACCCAGCGGTGTTTGGAATCAACACAGTTCTCATCATTATGGCTACTTGTAAGTTGAGAGTTAAAATGTCATATCCTCGCGAGTGAGGGAGAAAGAAACTGTCCATCCGCGACTGACTCACAAGACGCTATCCTCGCAGGACTTATATCATACATCAACCTACTAAGTGGCTGTGTTTACCATGTTCTCTCCATAGTTCAGAATAGTACACTCTCCTGGTTATCAGGTGGTCATGGCTACGGATCTCATTGCGCACCCAACCTTTTTCTCTCTCCTATACGCTCGTGACATGAACACTGCATTCCCGACTTCTTAAAGTTCCATTCTCAAGTTTCATTTGGTTAACCAGGTTATATTTTCTCCCCGAGTCTCTCAATTGGCTACATGAGCGTGAGTAATGCTTGTGAAATCACCATAAGACGAATGTATCTCGCTCGTTTTTTCTTTTCTTCTCACGCATATTATAACCGAACGCTTCACAATAAACTCGTACAAGACACCGCACGTTCAAAATTGTTCGGATTTAAGAGAGTCGTGGCCTGTTCTAGCGTCTTATATAACTAATCTTTCGTGTTTCTTTTGTAACAGTGTCTTTGGTTGGAGGAAAAAGATGGTACACCCTTAAGGATCCAGCTGGCAATGTCATGATACGAGTCTTTAAAATCATTTGGGTAAGACGTTCAACGAATTAAGCTCTTGGAATTTGAAAACCTTTCCACTTTTAC